GAATTAATAACTCGCAATTGTTAGATGTAAACTCGAAATTCTGAGAAAAAGTCAGAATTCTAAGTTTACATTTCAGAATTAATAACTCGGAATTAAGAACTCGCAATTGTTAGATATAAACTCGAAATTCTGAGAAAAAGTCGGAATTCTAAGTTTACATCTCAGAATTAATAACTCGGAATTAATAATTCGCAATTGTTAGATGTAAACTCGAAATTCTGAGAAAAAATGTGGAATTCTAAGTTTACATTTCAGAATTAATAACTCGCAATTGTTAGATGTAAACTCGAAATTCTGAGAAAAAGTCAGAATTCTAAGTTTACATTTCAGAATTAATAACTCGGAATTAAGAACTCGCAATTGTTAGATATAAACTCGAAATTCAGAGAAAAAGTCGGAATTCTAAGTTTACATCTCAGAATAAATAACTCGGAATGAATAACTCGCAATTGTTAGATATAAACTCGAAATTCTGAGAAAAAGTCGGAATTCTGCATTCACATTTCAGAATTAATAACTCGGAATTAATAACTCGCAATTGTTAGATATAAACTCGAAATTCTGAGAAAAAAGTTGGAATTCTTAATTTACATCTCGCAAATAATAGCTCGCAATTGTTAGAAAAAGTTTCAAGTTCTAAGTGTACATCTCGCAATAAATGATTCACAATTAATAACTCACAATTGTTAGATATAAACTCGAAATTCTGAGAAAAAAGTTCTAAGTCTGAGTTTACATCTTGCGATTAATAGTTGGAACTCTGCGATTACATCTCGCAATTAATAACTCGGAATCAATAACTCACAATTGTTAGATATAAACTCAAAATTCTTGGAAAATTTGGGATTCTGAGTTTACATCTCACCAACTAATAACTTGCAATTAATAACTCACAAATTGCAATATATAAATTCACAATTGTGAGGAAAAAGATCATCTATACGATAGAAAGTCGCAAATAACATTTTAAAGTGCCCCTATTATGGATTTCTGAAAATGAGCTTTCATGCAGTGTGTAACACAGCTCTAAGTGAATGAAAACATCCTGCGAAGCTTTAAATCTGAAAGTTCAAAAGAAAGAGTCGGCTCTGAATCATTAAAACGAGTCATTTTTAAAACCAATCCCAAGCCGATTCATGTTGACGTCAACATGAAACATTAGCATATTGCCCGCCCACGTGTTGGTCTTTTCGCGTTGGTCTGAATAAAAATGCAAATTCATTCTTTGCCACTAGGTGCCGCTTTTGGAGCGGTAAAAATAGCGGTTTCCCCGGTAACGCTGTACACAAAGCAGCACTGCGCACACAAACGCTGCTTTATCAGGCTTTACAGGCCAGATGACATTAAAATGAGACTAATCAGACCAATCACCGCTGATTAGCGTCACGCAAAGGAGGGGTTTGGAAAAATTAATCGTTGAGAGAATCGTTTGGGAGTCATTGAGCAAATAAGGTAAAAATAAATGCATATTATAAGACAATGAAAGTGTTTTTGGACCTTGCATGCATGTCAACCTGTTGTTAGGAACTCCCAAAACTAAAATATGAACCTTTCATTACCCATAATAGGGGCACTTTATTTTATGTTTCTCTGTTTTCCCCCATCATCATCATCCTCACTGAACACCGAGTAGAGATGCTTACCGCGACCCTCGCCGAACTTGGCGCTGTGAGCCCAGGTGAGTCCGCGGGAAAAGCCCAGTTCGCGACACACCACGTTGGCCAGATTGATGTTGACCTCGTCGTCACACACGGTTCCCCACGCGCCATTATACAGCACCTCCAGCCGGCCCTCGAACCTGTTCCTGCCGCCCTCCAGACGCAGCTGGAGCCCCGGGACACCGCGCGCGAGCGGAGCGACGGTGAGGAGCATCATCATCATCATCTTCATCATCATCATCATCTTCTCCACCTGCGCTCGGACACATGCATTACACATCAACCTCTCAAGCGCTTGGGATCCTGCCATCACATGCAATCAGAGCTAATTAACCCAGAGCACAGACGACGAGAAGTTACAATTACAACATTCTGAGCTTATATCTCGCAATAACTCACAATTGTTATAATAAAAGCTGGAATTCTGAGTTTCTCATTTTAAGGTTAGACTCTAAAGGTCATGGTGGATTGAGAATTTATGGCGAATTTCACCCTAAATTCTGTCAGTTTTAGAAGATATTTTAAGAAATGTCAATGTTTTCTTGTCCATGCAATGAAAGTCAAAGGGGTTCCATGTGGTTTGGTTTCTAATATTCTTCAAATATTTAGAAATAGACATTCACACAGGTTTGACATGATAGAGAAAATAATGACAGAACGGTCTTTTTTTTTTTGGTAAACTATCTCTAAAAATGTGATGCACAAATACACTGTTATTAATCATGCAAGTAAATCCAGTAACAGCTGAGAGAAACTAACAGAGGAAAGCAGACAGAGAAGCACAGAATCAAACAGATCAGTAAGAGCTGATGAGAGGAATGAGCTGTAACTCACCTGCAGAGCGAGGTGTGAGAGACGAGTGCAGCACACAGACTGAGAGAGAGAGAGAGAAACCTCACCAGATACTGCTCTCTCTCTCTCTCTCTCTCTCTCTCTCTTTCTTCTGGTTTATGTGAAGTCCAGTGATTTTTTCTCTCAGTGAGTTGTTTTATAAAGAGCAGTTTAAAAGTGACACACACTCTGAATCTTACCTCAACATGCAGCAGTTTTCTTTATTTTTTTACTGATTTTTCGCTTGATGGACAAACATTGAAGGAGAGATTCACACCAGATATGAAGAAACACCTAGAAACAATGGAAGCTTGTTTGTATTTTTTATTGTGGCAAAAAATAAAAAAAATAAAAAAGAAAAGAAAGAAAATTGTATGGAATTGAATGGAAATAGGCTTCTATAAGAAACATTGTAAAATGCTAAAAACACGTTGGCAACCGCATAGCAACAAAATAACAACTATTCAAAACACTATAGCAACTGCATAGCGACGCCTTGGAAACCGTCCAGGCACAGTTTAACACTGGAAAGCGTCACTCATGTTTTCCTCATTAAATGTAAAAAAGTCTTGATGGCAGCACTGATTGTTGTTCATTTATGCATCATGTTTGTCAGTTTCACTACAGCTCTCTGAATCTCAGTGTGTTTGTGCTGTAATTGAGCACTGGGATCTCTGGCGCGCGTCCACACCCAAAACGAGTGTGTGTGTGTGTGTGTGTGTGTGTGTGTATTCCTCTCATTCACACACAGTGTGTGTGTGTGTGTGTGTGTGTGTGTGTGTGTGTGTGTGTGTGTGTGTGTGTGTGTGTGTGTGTGTGTGTGTGTGTGGAGTGCGAGTGTGTGTGAGTGAGTGAGTGAGTGAGTGAGTGAGTGTGCGTGTGAGTGTGACTGCGAGTGTGAGTGAGTGAGTGTGAGTGTGCGAGTGTGTGTGTGTGTGTGTGTGTGTGTGAGTGTGTGTGAGAGTGAGTGGGTGGGTGAAGTAGGCGCAATGATTATTACTCCGGAGTGAGAGTATAGTTCCTAGCCATATCGGCCTAGAAAATCGCAACTTTTAATTTTCCGTCGGTATTAGTACACGATGTAACTACAGAAGAGTCAAGTTTTAAATAGGAAAAATATAGAAACTCTTTGGTCATTTTTGAGCGAGATGCTAACGGTCTAATCAGATTCTATGATCTATGCTAAGCTAAGCTAAAAGTGCTACCGCCAGACCCGGAGATCGGCCGAATGGATTCGAAAACGGTAAAACTCAGCTGTTTAACTCTAGGGGAGCTGGAAAATTAGCCTATTTTCAAAAATAGCGGAGTGTTCCTTTAAATATCACCGGCTAAAAAGTAACTAGAACTGAGTAGTTTTCGAGAGGAGTACTTTGTAGTTTTACTCAAGTACTGTTTTGACACCAGTACTTTTACTTGTAATTGAGTATTATTTCAGCAACGTAACAGTACTTGTACTTAAGTACAAATTTTCAGTACTCTTTCCACCACTGCTAATCTAGCGGGTCACTTTTCGTAAATTATGTTCACTCATTAATTTCTTGGGCAAGTTCATGCAAGCCAAATCTGCGCAGGTTTAGCGCAAATACTGAACTCGTGAGACATCATGACGGTATCGAGTATATTGCAAACACCAAACAAAACACACCGACAGAGGCAAGCATAAGCCTAAGTTACGCATTTATGATTCAATCTATTAATTTGCATTAAGAATGATCACATACTTCAAGATAAGGGGGCAGAAAATGTATATTTCATTCCATATAGTTAATCAATATCACACGAAGAGTGCCGTTTAAAACAAAAATCAGCATGGTTACAAATGTGATATTGATTTTATACAACAGTTCAATAAACAAGTAGTTAATATCAAGAGACTTACGTTTTAGACACCATGCCTGCTTTGGCTCTATTTCGCCATTAAAAATAACTCCAAACACAGCTACAGCAGTTTTGTGTCTCTGAGCAACATGATTGTTTTGTTCTCTCTCCGCATTCGTCACTAATCACCCAACGCCGACGTCTTACGTCATCCGCCCGAAGGCCTTCCGTATATGACAGACAGAAAAGTGTTTATTACGTGTGAAATATGGATATTTTTCCACACGCACTCTCTCTCTCTCTCTCTCTCACACACACACACACACACACGGACACACACACACACACTCCAGCAGATCCTCACCATCATCACGTCCTGCTCTGAGAGGATGAGGAGGAATCAAAGCATGCTGACATCACACTTCAGACTCCGCAGATGATTTAACGACAGACGAAGGTCTTAAAAGTGATGCAGACTATTAATGGAGCCTCAGACGCAATAACTAGTCTTTCTTCTTCCAAGTTATTTGTGTAGACAGAGTTTAAAATGAATGATTGTTCCATCACACGTCTTCATTTGTTTCTGGGAGTTGTGGCGCCCTCTGCTGGAGAGATCTTCACTCACAGATTCATTATTCACTTTTATACAACAGTTCAATAAACAAGTAGTTAATATCAAGAGACTTACGTTTTAGACACCATGCCTGCTTTGGCTCTATTTCGCCATTAAAAATAACTCCAAACACAGCTACAGCAGTTTTGTGTCTCTGAGCAACATGATTGTTTTGTTCTCTCTCCGCATTCGTCACTAATCACCCAACGCCGACGTCTTACGTCATCCGCCCGAAGGCCTTCCGTATATGACAGACAGAAAAGTGTTTATTACGTGTGAAATATGGATATTTTTCTTACAAAAACGCATGCATTTGCTACAGAAGGCATTTATTCACCCCCCTGCTTGCTGCTGGTTTTTGCTGGTTGCTTTTGTCAGGTCCGTAAATCTGAACACACTCATCTCTCCGGATCTGAGGAATCAATCACAAACAGTAACTGTACACATTTACACTGCTTCTTGCATGAGAACGACTGCGCTGTTTGGCTCCTGAATCCTGAACGCAGCGTAAAGCTCCTGATCCTCAGGAAAATCTGCATCAGACGTGTGCAAGGGTTTATACTGTGGACTCAACATATAGAAGCAAACAGAACCAGCGTCCCGGTCCACGAACACGCCCGGTTTTCTGACGGACTCTGACTAAATTGGTACAGTTTTATTGTTGTGACTAGCCTCACATAAATTATCTGACAAACATAAACTCCACGACATCTTATTGTGTCCCAGACATACGGCGTCACTCGCTCCCTTCCTCTGCATTCCCTTACAGGCCACGCCCACATGCACGTCTCGGCCAATCACATCCACCGTAAAGAAGCGGCGTCCAATCAGCGGCTGGAGGCTCAGGACCTGGTTGCACTTGTCGAATCTCTGGTCATTAGCAGGAATTTGTTGTTTCTCTCTCTGACGAGTGACTTTAGTGTTGTTCTCGCTCAGATAGAGGTGTTCATTAGCCGTCTGAGGGTCAAAGGTGAGCGCTACAAAATCTAAAAGCTTAAATGTTCAATTCACATTTATTTGTTTAGCACTTATACATACACAACAATACATATTGTTTCAAAGCAGCTTCAGAGAAGGTGAATGTTTTTACATTACAATCGTTCTATAATTAGCTAATATCTATAATTAAACACGTCTATAATTAGCATTAGGGGTTGGCGATATGACCAAAATCTTATATCACGATATGACTAATTTTATATCATGATAAGGATATATATCACAATATAGTTATTTTTTTCTTTTAAAAAGGTTTTTATGATATTAAAATCTTTGATACCATAGAATTTTCATAATCCTTGTCACCAATGTCAATATAAAACTAATGCAAGCCTAAAAAGAGACAAAAAAAAAACAAACTCAAGCTCACTGAAGATAAATAAAGAGTCAGTGATGAAATAAGGATAAGAAACTAATTGCAAGCAATAGGCAAAAAACTACAATAAATAAGAAAAGCTACATACATTGTGTATAGATAGATTATCTCTATATACAGTGGGTACGGAAAGTATTCAGACCCCCTTCAATTTTTCACTCTTTGTTATATTGCAGCCATTTGCTAAAATCATTTAAGTTAAATTTTTTTCCTCATTAATGTACACACAGCACCCCATATTGACAGAAAAACACAGAATTGTTGACATTTTTGCAGATTTATTAAAAAAGAAAAACTGAAATATCACATGGTCCTAAGTATTCAGACCCTTTGCTGTGACACTCATATATTTAACTCAGGTGCTGTCCATTTCTTCTGATCATCCTTGAGATGGTTCTACACCTTCATTTGAGTCCAGCTGTGTTTGATTATACTGATTGGACTTGATTAGGAAAGCCACACACCAAAGGGTCTGAATACTTAGGACCATGTGATATTTCAGTTTTTCTTTTTTAATAAATCTGCAAAAATGTCAACGATTCTGTGTTTTTCTGTCAATATGGGGTGCTGTGTGTACATTAATGAGGAAAAAAAATTAACTTAGATGATTTTAGCAAATGGCTGCAATAGAACAAAGAGTGAA